CGGAGTACACGAAAACTGCATCCCCCCCCCCCCCCCCCGCCCCTATGGGACGATAGTGTGTGTGTGACGGTGCACAAGACAAAAGTGATAAGTCACCTGACTTCGCTTTGCTGCGATTGATCTCCTCTGCCCCCACACACACCGTTTGAACCCCTTCCTCTCCTCTCTCATCGCCTTCCTCCTGTACAGCAACAAGCAGGGTGATGTGGAGGGTGTGTTTCCTTGTGCGGTGCGTCGATGGCGTCCTATGACATCCCCTTCCCCCCACCCCCACCCCCTTTTCCACCCGTCTCCACCCTGATATGTATGCAGATTTCTGCCACGACCGAAAAGTTGGCAATAAGTTGTCCGGCCATAAATCAAGTGGGTGACGCGGACCTCCCCTCCCTCCCCCTCCCCTCCTCTCTTCTCACGCTCTGGGGTCGTCTGCTTGCTGGGGTGGGCGCCGGCGGCGCCGGCGTCCTCTCGGACCTGCCCATCTTGCAATTACATGCCAATTACAAAACGACAGGTCAATTCATGACGGTTTTTTAAACTCCTTTTTTTTTCCTGCATTTTTTTCCTCTGTTTTAATATATTTTGTTTCTTCTTCTTTTCCTTTCTGTTCTGAATTTTTAGAACAATAGCGTTAGTTTAAACATGTGAAACGAACCAATCTTTATTAACAGCTGAAAGTTACTCTCGTAAGCTTACAACATATGTTGTGTGCAACAAATATTTGTTGCAATTTTATCAACGAAATATGTTGTAAATTGTGATTAGCCAGATCATTCTTGCTGGTCGATCAATTCCGAGTCGATGCAAATTTCTTGAAAAATTTCACAATTCCGAATTGTAATTTTACCACACACGTCACTGAAAGTGTTCCCACAAATCTACGGCTTTTTTCTCACAGTGAAAGCTTCAAGTCACCATAGTTTTTCCTCAATGGTGCAAGCGATTAAAAACTTTTTTTTTTACATGAACGTACTAGTTTGCTGCGAGAGTATGTGCGGGGTGGGGTACGGGCGGTACGGACACGTGCCACTTTAACGCGCGCGTCGTAACCCGCGTCGTAACGGAAGGGGATGAGAAATACGGCGGTCGCAGTGCCGTGGCCTACCGCATGTACATGGCAACTGTCGGTTCACTCGTGACTCGAATTGGCTCCACTGACAATGAGCAGAGCACGGGCTTACAGGGATGATGCGTGATTGTAGAACTAAAAATTCGAAGTTGTTAATCGACAACAAGTACTAAGTACTACTTTCGAAAAATCATTATCCAAGAGGGAATATGCGGTCGTAAATTTACAACATGTTATGTAAACCGTTAATACAGATACTTGTTTATACGTTTATGAAAGATATTTTCCGCTGTGTCTACGATTTGCTCATGGGCATCGCGTGCCCTACAATACCATGAGCATGGCAGTCTCACACTTGACAGTGCATGCTCGCTGTTGTCGCGTGGATGTCGCCGTATCCGCCCCGGCTGGAGATTGAATATTGAGGGCCAGCGGAGAGAGAAAGAGAGAGAGAGAGACTGTGCGCCTCGTAAAGCCGCTGTGGGACGGTGTCTCCTCTGTTGTCCTACTTCGCCGCGGTGGCGCCGGGGTCAAGCCCTATCAGTGGTCCGGCTAATCGAGTTGCAGCTGTAAAAGGCGAAGGCATCATCCCGAGCGAGCCGCGCAGCGACCGCGGCGGCGAAAGTAGCCTCCATCTCCTACTACTCGTCCTCCTTCATCATCATCATCGTCTTGACGGGTTCTGGAGGAGTACTGTACCATTTCCAAGTTTTTGCCACACTAAAAATGACAATATTTTGCTCGCTCGCTCTCTCTCTCTGCCCCCCTCCCCCTCTCTCTCTCTCTCCCTCTCCAACCTGCTGCTGCTGCACCTCGTTCCCATACGACTCGCAGGAAGTGGCCTGCGGTGTGGACCCCGGCCGCGCCCAGCCCAGATCGGGTGACGACGCCGGCCTCCGTGGCCTCCTTGAGAAAGCAAAAGGCACCGAGACGAAAAGGATCGAATCGGTCCGTGGCAGCGCAGAGATTCGAAATGCGTGTTTGTTGTTGGGTATTATGATTTTACTCTCTAGCTCACAACAAACCCTAGCGCATTGTGAAACCAAAATTGGGCAAAATAACCTGAGACCCCTTTTTTGCCCTCGTGGATGTTTTTGTGATTCCGCATGTTGTATTTCCAGCGCCGCTGTTCGAGTAGGTGGTGATCAATCTAGTGCCGTGCTGCGGCACCTTGCCGTGTTTGTCCGTGTGCTTGTTTGCCTGCTCGCGGCTGTCATTTGTCATCACTGTCTCTCTGTGTGTGTGTCTCTCTCTCTCTGTCTCTCCCTCTCTCCCCCTCTATCTCCCTCTCTCTCCCTCTCTCTCCCCTTTCGCGGACAACACGATGGAATGTTCCGCAAAATAACCAACGCGAAAGAGAGATGGATTTTTCGCGGGTCGCGGATTCCTCCATGACCCCCATGTTATTATTGTGATGATGCACAGGGTGTGCTCGCCGACGACAACTTGTCATTTTTGCGTAAACAAGCTTCTGCGGTCTCTACTTTACCCTGCTATACTCTTGCTTTCACTTCCGACTGCTACTGAGACTTCTTGACTCGCTCGTCCGCCTGTCGTCACTCACTAGGCCGCCTGTACGCCGCGCAGAGTAGATTCCTGATGGGATTCGCCCCCCACGCCCTAGCGGGCGCCGTGACAGCCTAATGTGTTGACACTGCAGTGATTGCGGCGATGTCCCGGGGATGTGTGTGTGTGTGTACACTGGAGAAACAGGAGGTGCCAGCTAGCACCTTTACGGGCTGTTGGTACCTTTCTAGAGGTGCTAAAACGTTCGTCCTTTTGTTCTTGCGAAAATGACTCATCCCAATTCGAGCCCGCTCTCAAGCGTTGCATTTGTCTGCGTACTCCTTGCAGAATTGTATTTGTACTGGCAAAACAAGTGTGCATAATTTAAACACCAACGTGTTTAAGTTGTCATTTTAAACATTACATGGTGTTTATCTCAAGTTGCACACTTGCGTGGTGTGCACATTTCAAACGTTTTGTAAACGTTCACATTCTGCCGCATTCTGCACACTGGGATACACACAAATCTATAGGAACAATATGGTGTGCAGCTGCTATACTTTTCGGAAGTGTTTAAAGTTTAAACACCGATTGACGTTTAACCTAGTTAAACACCACAATGTGTTGAGAAAATGCACATGTTCAAGTGCACTTGAACTTAAACGCCACGCTCGTTTATCAGTGTAGTCATGCGTCATGCGCACAACTATTTATTTATGACCCAGTCACTTATATCGATTTTTTTAGCACGACTTTGACTGCACAGTTCTGCATATTATGCGGCGCAATTCCGATAAGCTTAATTTTTGTGTGTACGGGCCTCGTCACGAAAAAGCATGCCCTCAGTCGCCTGCTCAGTTTTCGAGTCACTTTGTCGCCGTCCTGAGAGAGAGGTGTTGTTGGTGCTGACTGGGCGGTGACGGCCTCCCCGCCCGCCCCAGGACTCTTCTTCCCCTCTACGCCGCGCTCTACGACGCTTCCTCCTCCGAAAAACTCAATTGACAATTAACGGGACGTGGATCGGACACGACGCCGTGTTTCGCCGGGTCATCGTGACGGTCACAGGGATTCCAGGGAGCGCCCCCCCCCCTTCCCCTCTTTCCGCCCCACTCCTCCTCGCCACCAGCCATGCGCCCAATTTGGAGAGGCGCCGGCTAGCGCCTCCGGTAGTACCAACATCGTAATAATAATACAGCTCAAGTCATGGTCGGGGGCAAAAGAGGGGGAAATGCTCAACCGTGTACTAAATCATATTGCTGTGTATGTATGCACTTTCAGGGACCATACAATTTTTGTTATGGTGTAATATGAATATAACGTGGTTTATGGCTAAATAGAATGTTCTACCCCCTAAGAACAATTTTTAAACGAGTTTTACACGCTCGGAGTACACGAAAACTGCATCCCCCCCCCCCCTCCGCCCCTTATGCCCCAGTAATTGAATAATTGTCACCTTTTTGCAGTCTAGTATTAGTTTATCCGAGAGCTGTCACTGAAAACGCCAACGCCAATGCAACGTTGCGACGAAAGAAATGAGAAGGCGATATTATTTTTTGCCCGTGTTTCTAAATGATGCCGTGCGCCGTTATGGGGGAACCAGCTGCGAACAATAACCATCTCTCGTGTGGCCGATAATCGAAATTTTGATTTCTCGAAAAAAAAAAAAGAAAAAAAAAAGCGTCCGCGAAAAACAGCGATTTAGTTTCCACTGAGCTTTTGCTTTTTTTAAAAGAGCAATAAAGGTGGGAAAATATGGCAACGACCCCCCCCCCTGCTCCCCAAAAAATATACCTCTGAAAAATATCGTCGAACAACTCAAATAAGAAATACCTCTTAAAATTTCGCAGATTAACAACATATGTTGCAAACAAAAATTGTCAAAAGTGTTGTAAGTGTACAAGGATTTTGTTGGCGGTAGATCGAAAAGTAAAACAGCGTCTTTTTCAATATCCAATTGTTGTTTTTATTGGTTAGCACATTTGGAGAGAGTGCTCATGTGTTAATACTCTGGCAGGCACCTTACTTGCCCTTGCCCTTCTTCTTCTTCTGGCTGGTGGAGGGCTGGCCGCCGGTGCTGGGCTGCCCCGCAACGCGCTCTGGTGACGCGTGCGCGTTCTGTCCCAGGGCCAGGTAGCCGTTGGTCTGGTGGCCGGTGTGGGTGTTGGTGGTCCAGTCGATCTGCTGGCCGATGCCGTCCTTGACGGTCCGGCGCTCGGTCGGGCTTCCGGGCATCTTCGTCCACTTATTGTTGTCGGCGGGCGCGGCCAGCGCCAACACGGCCTGCGAGCGCGAAATTTAAAAAAAAGTGCGTGAATTATATTTGCAAACTTGAAGGTGTGTCACTATCCATTCGTACACTTAAGGGAAAATGTGTGAATTTTTCTTTGGAATTGACACACTTGTGCCCGAGGAGTCCTCTCACTTCGATCTTCCGAGTACCATAAATAAATGATTTAAAATAACCGAAACTTGATCAAAAATGACTGAAAAGTCAGTGACTAAAATTGATAAATTATGGCGGAAATTTGATTAAAACAGCCTGATACATTATGGAATTGTATTGTGTACAGTGATTAGCACGATAAAGGGACCCCTCGCTTGTTTCACCACCATTGGGTCTCTGGTGTAGCAAGTTCGAACACTGTCCCAAAATTAAATTGGAAGCTTTTGGTTACTTTGTACTTCACTCACCACCATCGCGACCAGCACGCTGCAGATGACGAGTGTTCGGTTCATGTCGTCAGATGTTGGGCACCTCTACAGTTCCAACCCCGATTGTTCGCCCCTTTATACCGCTCGGTTGGCGCCGAGCTCGTGACTAGGGCATTATGCGCTAATGTCATGGTGGCGTGTTTTAACGGTTTTATCGTGTTTTTTTTACGTGTCATGCGTTGTCATCACTATAAAAAGTTAATTTATTGCTGGTAAAAACTGTGGCTTTTTTACCTATAAGCATAAAGCATGCTAATTCCTAAAAATAATACTTTTTTTAATGGTAGTCCATGTGGTAATTTGAGAAACCCCTTTCGTTCAAGAGTTCGAACTCGGTATTGTTGAACTCAACTTGACTTGTGTCAGTGTCCCAATCAACAAACCATAATTCCTAAAAGCCTCCCTGGTGGAACACGGTTGGGATGTGGGACGTCCCAGCAAAGGACGTCCATTATAACACAGTACTTCAAAATGCAGCATTTCAACCTCGCGGTTGAAAAAAAAACTCGGTTTCTTTTCGCAGAGTCGTCATGATTCCTCGTCATTGTGTCGACCAAGGCGACCATGCCTCCTCCTTCTTCTTCGCTGGTCGAATTTCTGCGCCCATCTGTGCCGTACTGTCTATGGGCAAGGGAAGGGCTACTGTTGTCGCCCGCTTGCGATACAGATTAATTCGAACGGGGAGGGGAAGTGGAGAGAAGGGGAAGGGGAGGAGGGAAAAGGAAGGGGGAGAAGGAAGGGAGGGGGAGGGGCGCATTATATATCTGGGCAATCGATACAACACGACAACGCTGCCCGCCCGCTTGCCCCTATTACATAACACTCAACACCGGTAATGGAGTTATCAGTTGCATTATGCATCTCTCAATGTTTCTCTCTCTCTCTCTCTCTCTCCCTCCCTCTCCCTCCCTCCCTCCCTCCCCCGCTCAGTGGCAGAGTCCCACTGGGAGTGTCTGAGAGGAGAGGGACGGAGATGGAGAGCCAGGCGCGGTGCGAGGGAGAGAACGGCGACATGTCGCTCATCATAGTCGGCGGTGGCGAGGGAATTCCCCTGTCGTCGCGTCGACGGCGACCTGACGGCGACCTCCTAGTATTCCGCTGCTCACATGTAATAAGCGACTCCAAGTAGGATAACATGCAATCTAATAAAGAAAACAAAACCTCCATCCAACAAGTAAATCTAGCTAGAGTCTGGTAGACTTGAGATCTAAAAATCACGTTGTCAAGTTTATTACTTAAAAATAAAAAGTTTCAGCCGCCACTGCACTAGGTTGGGGTCACGCCATCGCTATTGGGTGAGCGATGCGCTTGCTTCCAGCTTTCGTTACTCTTGGGATTTGACAACGAGTATTTGCAATTGTTTTGGAACACAACTTCTCTCCCCCTCTCTCTCCCCCTCTCTCTCTCCTCTCTCTCTCCTCTCTCTCCCCCTCTCTCCTCTCTCTCCCCCTCTCTCCTCTCT